TACTGCTAACGGAACTCAGTCCTCTCGCCACTGCGCTAACAGCGTACTGCTAATGGAACTCAGTCCTCTCGCCACTGCGCTAACAGCGTACTGCTAACGGAACTCAGTCCTCTTGCCAGTCAGTGACTATGAACCAGCAACCGACAGGATTTTCCTGTGACTTTAGGATTTTTAAAAAGAATCTTTAAATGTTTCCTTTAAATTATGTGTCTATGTGTATCTGAGTGTGGATTTGTGCCCTGAGTGCAGTGCACAGAGACCCCAGAAGAGGGTGTTGGGTCCCCTGGGGCTGGAGTTCCAGGTGGGTGTGAGCCACCTGACATGGGCGATAGGAACCAAACTCACGTCCTCTACAAATAAGTGCTCTTAACTGCTGAGCCATCTCTATAGCCCCGACTTTAGGACTTTTAAATTATGGAAATATTAGAACATTTTTCAAAATAGAGACGATATAATAAACACCACACTTATCACCTAGATTTCAATTTTCTTAGTATCAGTTCCTTCTCTTATTGCTGTAATCAAAGCAACCTAAAGCAGGCTTTCTTTTGGCTCCTGCTTTGAGGGTGCAGTCCGTCAGGGTAGGGAAAACAGGAAGTGGCTGCTGGTTCCTTTGCTAGTACTCAGCCCCCACCGCCTTTATGTGTTCTGAGACCCAGCACACAGGATGGATTCTACATTCAGGGTGTGTCTTCCCACCTCAGTCAAACCTCTGTGGAAACAGACATACAGAGAGGTGTGTCTCCTAGGTGGCTGCCAAGGGAGTCAAGCAGACAGTGAAGGTTAACGGTCATGTTAGCATTTTGTCACGTGTTGACCTTCTTGCCGAAGGATTTAAAACCAAATTATGTGATAATTAAAGAACTAGTCATGGGCTATTTATTGCATTTCTCTATTTTGTACCTGAAACTACCCCCCGACATTTTTGGTGTCTGTTTTGTGGTGGTTGTTGTTGCTGCTTGTCGGGGTCTAATTATTTATACCAGGCTGTCCTAGACCTCTTTATATGACATGAACTGGCTTTGAGGTTTTAATTCTGTTGCCGCAGCCTCCCATGTTCTGGGGGTGCAGGTATGCGCCACCAAACCCAGCCTCTCTTTCCTTTCTCTTGGCTTTAATTTCCAAGTTCTTGAATTCCCTCCCGTGGCGTTTGTGGGTTTTCTCAAACTCTCAAAATAGAGCCTTCAGCACAGGCAGGCTCTATTTCTGTGTCGCCTTTGTATTAAGTGCCGTTAACCAGAGGATTTAAAATGTGTGCTTTCTCTCAGTTATTGCATCCAGTTAGCACCCATAACTTTGAAACTGCTCCCAGTGTGACTGTGACCAGTCGTGTGTATTGGAAGTGGGGGGGGGGATTTCTTATCTGTTTCATTTTAATGACAGATAAAGATTTTCTGCCGTTTGTACAGAATTTATAGGCTTAAAATGGATACAGAATAATAAAGGTGGCTGTTGGGTATGGCTGGGAATAAGATTAAAGTTAGTCCTGATAGCTGTTCTGCATGTTCAGTTTGCAGAGAAGTTCCAGGAGGTGAAAGAAGCTGCCAGGCTAGCCAGAGACAAGTCCCAGGAGAAAATCGAGACCTCGAGTAATCATTCCCAAGTAAGTAATCTGTCCCTAAAATAAATATGGGGGGTGATGAGTAATTGAGATTCCTTCTTCCTTGTCACTCTTGGCAAGAGGTAGGTAATTTTAGCAGCAGGGCTAAAATCCAAAGGCATTTTTCAACGATTAGCCCGCTCTCAGCAAGATGAGGCGACTTGGCGTTTATGAGGCTTTGGGGTTTCTCAGGCATAGTACTGGACTCTTGGCAGAGAGCTATTGATACAGTCAGAGCTGCCTGTCCACAGGCCGCGAAGCGCTTGTGTGGTGACTGTGTTTAAAGGTCAGGGTGTAGCGCGGTGGTAGAACACTTACTTAGCCTATTCCAGACCAGGCGTGTGCCCAGCATTAAAGCGGGGCGGGGGTGGGGCTTGGTTAGCGCACAGTGTCCATGTTAGGCCCATCCTGCTAGGTCAAGGGCAGTGTTGGGCTTTCTAGAATTCCAGCAACCTTGAGGACAGGCGGTGTGAGAGGTGAGGCAGTGTTTTCTGACTGTTGGGAAGTCCACGGTGGGATGTTCTTCAGGGCCGTACTAGAAGAACACTAGAGAAAAGGCTCTCAGAGGGAGAGAGCTCCGAGCCTCTCCGAGCCTCTCCCTGTCTTAACAAAAGATAGGTGGGAGGGGCTTTTGCCCCCTGCAAGCTGAAGTCTGAAGAGATCTGGCTGTGCCAGGATTTGATTAGTCTGTCTGCTTAAAAATGTGATGATAATGTCTATAAAGGACCCGTTTAACCTGAGAGTTAGAAAAGTACCAGCATGCCTGGTGTCTTTGTTGATGAGCGAAGGCTTGGCCATCTTATAGGTAGGAGCAGGGGTGGTCGAGCCAGACAACCTGGATATCTGCCTTGCACACTTCCACATCGGGTGTGGAGATAAAGCCTGGAGATGCTGTGAGCGGGGAATCCATTTCATTAACTAGGTAGTCAGCAGACATCAGGGTTGTTATATAGCTAGTGATGTGGGGTTGGCGTGAGGATGATGTAAGAACTTACTGTGTCTCAGGGGGCTGTGGGGTGGGGTGGCGGGGGTAGTGGTTTGACCTGGGTAGCTGTGGTACGGTGAGAAGTATTGGCAGGAGGGGACAGCTCCCAGGAAGGAGCCAGGAAGACCAGGCACACTGAAGTAGTCATGCTTAACTCCGACCTGGCCATGAGCCAAACAGAATCGTCAGGGCCTAGGAAGTAAGGTCAGGAGTGAGAGCCCTGACGGGAGAACCCAGCAATCCCTCAGAGAGAGAGGCCACCAGGGCACAGTCTTGTGGCAGACTTGGTGGCTGGGGTGATCCACCCGGGGAAGGCCTAGGCCTGTCTTGAGGTACATGCTCATGCTGTGTCCTGGGCTTGCCATAGTAAAAGACACTCCAGGTGGGTTTATGGGACAGAATCTATGCCAGGCCTCAGATGGACAGGAACTTTCCTGGACCTTTCTTAATAGTCCTTAGTCCAAGTGACAACCTGATTCAGTGGAGTATATTGAGTAATCACCCAGGGTAAGTTCTTGAAATGGAAATGTGGGTAAAAACTGTAGACATTTTATCTCTCTCTCTCTCTCTCTCTCTCTCTCTTTAAATTTAGTGTTTAATCATGTGCGTATGTGTATCTGTAGGTCACGTGTTGGGGAGTGGCCGAGGAGAGCAGTGGTATCAGGTCCCCTGGAACCGGGTGTTTGCGGGCTGTTAGAAATCCCCTGATACACATGCTGGCAATTGCCCTGGGGTCCTCTGGAAGTCTAATGTGTATCTTGACCACCGAGCCATCTCTCCATCCCCTACGCCCCATGCATATTTAAAGCTACCGAGATGGTTCCTGGTATAGAGAATTCTAACACACTGTCTTTTCCTGAATACGACATTTTATAGTGATATCTTTAAATTTAAATATCTGAATTTATCTGAAAGATTTTGCTTTAAGATTATCTTGTTGAATAAGTGTGCCTCATAAGATATTAAGTAGAAATTAAGCCTTAGCTTTATCCGTCCTCGCTGATGCATCGGTATCTGTTTTCCTTTGAACAGTCAGCCACTGATCTTCCTGAATCTTTCCCATGAATGAACACTTTAACCACGTTTTTCAAATAGTTGAAAATTGTTATGCAGTCAGATTACAAAGACTCTTACAGGTTTTATGCATGTGTAAGAGCAAAAGAGATACAGCATAGCTTGCTATGGAGAAAGCAATGAAGCCGGCCCGCTCTCAGGTTAGGGAGTTTAGTTACAGTTTAGAGCAGAATGCTCGCCCGAGGAGGCGCACAAGGCCCTGAGTTCCCACCCCTCACCAGAGAACAAGCCCACACCCATGTGCTGTGTCACCATGGCAGGATAAGTCGGTAGTATTTGAAAATATGTGTTTTTAGTATACCTTTCTAATACATTTTTTGTTACTCCTTTTAACCGTTTAAGTATTTAAACGAAAATACTTTGTAAGCCATGAGTGTTTCCTCCTGGCTTCCAGTATTTCCTTTCAAAACTGCTTTACTGCCCGGGTAATATTCCAGTTTGTATCGTGACGCATTCCTGTCGCCTCTTACAATCTGGGGCAGCTAGCTGTTCTTCTTTTCCTTCTCATTAACATATATACCATGGCTGTAAGCATCCCTGCCCATCTGTGAGCATTGGATCATTCTCTGCAGGATAAATTTCGGAGATGGAAACATGGCTTGAGGGGTCTTCTCTTTAGCCTACAGCGATGATCAGTTCCAACTCCCACCAGCAGTGACTAAGACTTTCCCGATCCACACCTCACTAAGAAGACTTGTTGATTTGACAAGTTGTATACTATTAAATATGTAATGCAATATTTTATTAATTCTTTGAGAATTTCATACAATAGAATTTGATTATATTCACCCCCAACTCCTCCCGTATTCACCCCCATCTCCCCTCCTAACTTCTGACCTTTCTCTCTCCCTTCTTCCCTTCCACCCTCCCTTCCTTCTTTCCTTTATTTCTTTCTATAACCTACAAAGTCCAGTTAGTGTTGCCCTTACACTTTCAGATATAAGACTGTCCACTGGAGCATGGCTGACCTACCAGGAACCACACCCTTAAAGAAAACTCAATATCCCGCCTCCACAAGACACCACCTGTCAGCAGCTCCTTAGTTAGGAATAGGGGCCCTGAGCCCCACCCTCCACGCCAGACTGTTGACTGGCTTGATCATATGCAAACCTTGGTCAGACAGCCACGGCTGCTGATTTTAGATATTTTTTAATATCTGTGAAGACTTTGGATGTAAATTGAATGATGAACCTCAATGACCAGTTGTTTTGTTATGGCCCCTACTTCTGTTCCCTGCCTGTCCCATGTTTTAAAGGAAATCCAAGATATCTGAATACATCCAAAAATATCTCAGTATATAATTCTAAAAATTGAGGAGTCTTGGGCCAGCGAGACAGCCCAGCGGGTAAGAGCATTTGCCATACAAGCCTGGTGAACTGAATGACGTCACTTGAGTCCAAGGAGCCTGCAGTTGAAGAGAATGGGCTCCTGAAAGTTGTGCTCTGACTCCACACACGTGTTTGCATGTGCGCACTTGTGTGCGTTTGCGTGTGTGCACACCCCACACGCATGTATATAAAATCTTAATTTTAATTTAAAAAACGACTCAACAAAGGATATTTAAATTTCACTTCCAATGCCTACTGCGTATATTCTCCCTGGGGTTTCATTTGCATTTTAATTTTGTTTGTGATTTCTGCTTTGTAATGCAGAAATTTAAGTTAGTCAGATTTATACATTATTCCCTTCATGCTGCCTTTGTGCCTACTGGAGGCGAAGATCTAAGATCTTATTCAAGACTGGATGAAGTTTTTCCTCCTGGTGGCTTGGTTTATTACAAAAAGACACTTCAGGATATTCATAAGAATGCTAAACAGTATTGAAGCCAGCAAACACCGTATCTGGTTCCTGTGTTTTTAATAAATGTTGATCTAGCTCTCCGTAGCCAGGGTCTGTACATTGTCTCTGTTTCTGATACTTTCTGTAGCCTCAAGGATTTGCTACTCCTGGGGTTCCTTATTGTATGTAGCAATCCCTTTGACAATAACTTTGACAGTAACTTCTGTCCTGGGGCCTTTAAGGAGATCGGACATTCAAGCTTGGCAGAGCTTGAACACAGGAAATGGGAACATAAAGTTTGAATTAAAAATCTGTGCATGGTGGCCCCAGGTCTCATCTCATCAGTAAATTGCAGGCTTTATGAACCTCCTGTGGCGTGTTCAGGGCCTTTGGGACCTGGGATTGGTTGTCTTGGTCAGCCTTTTTGCTGATTAGTCTATACTGCATTCTGGTTCAATGAATCGGTTTGTCCAGACTCATAAACACATATTTTCTCATTATACCTAATTTGCTGCCAATATAAGGACAAGCAGTAACATGTGAAGATAATTCACTTTGGCCAGGAATCTGGGTGTGAAACCCCGTCTTCCACTCAGGCATCCAGTGTCAACGGAACGGACGATGAAAAGGCCTCACATGCCAGCCCTGCCGACACACACCTCAAGTCTGAGAATGACAAGCTGAAGATCGCGTTGACACAGAGGTGAGGCTGCTTCCCGACCCACACCCCCTTTTCTTTGTGCTCTGTATTTCTTGGAGGCCTTTCCCACTGGGCAGGGTTTCGGGAGCTGGAAGAGAAGATTGTCCTGCTCCGTGCCTCACATTTTACCTCCTGGTCGGAGGACGAAGACCAGTTGACGTCACTAACCAGTGGCAGTCAGTGTGTATGAGAGTGTTAGTGTGAGCCAGTGTGTGTGGAGGATATAGTTATGTGTGAATGCATGTGAGAGAGTCTGTGTTTTGTTTGTGAAGAGGAGCCTTTACCATTTATTCATCTTCGACAAGAAAGTGTTAAATACCCCCAGAGAAGTCTATAAAACCCTAAGAAACGTCAGCTGTCTTTGAACAGCCCTCACCCACACTCTCAGGTGTGCCCTGTGCCTTTCTATTACCGCTGTGCTTCAGATCTAGCCGAAAATGCCTTCAGTTCTGCCTTAAAAAATTCTAAGACCATGAAAAATATGAGATCACACAAGATAATAGTATTCCTAGGATAATATTTGGAAAAGAGGTTTCCTTTATAAAATTAACTGGAGCCAGATGGTGGTGGCGCAGGCCTTTAATCCCAGCACTCAGGAGGCAGAGGCAGGTGGATCTCTATGAGTTTGAGGCCAGTTTGGTCTACAGGAGCTAGTTCCAGGACAGGCTCCAAAGCTACAGAGAAACCCTGTCTCAAAAATCCAAAATAAACAAATAAGTAACTGGAAAACATTGGTGGGGAATGTCCAGGATGGCACGGAGCACATGGTTATTGTTGTTGTTTTGAAATAGGGTCTTAGCACAAGTAAGCCCTGACCTCACTCTGTAGCTCACGGTAGTCCTGGACCTCTGGTCTTCCTGCCTCGGCTTCGCCAGTGCTGGGATCATACACACCTCTCTCTTTAAAGTGATTTCTGAGGGTCACAGATGAAAAATTTAACACAAAATATGTTGCTTATTGTCTTTAAAAATATTTATGGGGAAAAAAGAGAGGGGGAAAATGTATGGAGATGAGAAAGATGGTTCAGCATTAAGAGTACTTGCTGTTCTCACGGAGAAAATGAGTTCTGTTGCCAAAGCCCACGCTAGTGGCTCGTGATTGCCACTGCAGGGAAACTAGCAGTTTATTTGGCCTCTGAGAGCCCCGGCACACGTGTGACACACACACACACACACACACACACACACACACACACACAAATGAAACCACAGATCTTTACAAATATTTATCGTTAACACATCGTTCTACATATTTATCGCATACGGTGTGAATATAATGTGTTGGTAAAATCAGAGACAGCAGTCCCTTCACTTCAAACACAGGCGGCTTTCAGCCGAGAAGGGGTAAGAAGCCTGGGTTGTTCACAAGGTTTTGGTCTCTTCAAAGTGGTTCTGTCTGTTAGCACGATACCAAGAAGTCTTAGATGTCAGATGACAACACAGGCTGCCCTTGTGTTTCCGGGTCTTCAGGGCTGGCTTGACACCTTCAGAATTACTCTGCTCACCTAGCTGAGGACTTTGGCAAGATGCCCTCAGTTTCCTCGTCGTGGCTAGGAGGACTCTCTACTCTCTCCAGACTTCCCATGTCAGAGGCGGATCACCTTCAGGCCCGTCCCGTCTAAATTTCCCCGCTGGACTGTTGAGGAAACTAGACGCAGTTAGTAAAGTGACTCCCTGCCCAAGGTCCCAGGACCGCCTTGTTTGCACTTACCTCTGCACACAGTCTCCGCAGTCCAGCTGGAGACCCCAAAAAGGCTGCCATTCATTGCTGTCGCGCAGCATCCTGGCCGCCGTTTGGAACTTAATCCCTGTGAGCTGACCTAGAAATTCCAGAAAGCACAGGAGACTTTTCAATACCATCTTCTGGTCTGGATGCTGCCTCTTTTCAGATGCTTCAAAGACAAAGCTGACCAGTCTCCTTTCTCGCCTATTTTTGGTTGTTTAAGTCACAGTGGGATATCCAGATGAAAATATTCCAACCCCAAAAATAAATGTTTTAAATCCAAGCTCAGCGCAAAGGAAGGTAAAGGGAAGCCATGAAGCCCTTCTCCTAAATCGCCACTTAGCTGACACTCGTCACCTCTAAAACTCATCAGATAAAAACATTTTGCTGGGATTTTTTTTTTTATTCAGTGTGTCGCATTTAAAGCCGGAAGCATGCATTTCCCAATCACATCATAGATTCATGAGGAAATAGCTAGAAAGATGAATATGGCTCAGGTAGAGTATATTTATCTAATTTTTTTTCTTTCAGTCATTAGAAAATGGACATTTCTCTGCAGGACAGAAATCCTCTTTGTATATGTGTGTGCATGTTCCTGTGTGTGCATTTGAGAGAGGGGGAGGAGGGAGGAAGGGAGAAAGAGAGAGAGAGAGAGAGAGAGAGAGAGCGCACATGTATGTGAAGGCCAAAAGTCAACTTTGTATGTTGTTCCTGGGAGACAGAGACAAACGCCGAGCTACTGTGTCTGTAGAGAGCAAGACTGACTTTCTGTGTGTGTCTGTGTGTCTGTGTGTCTGGGGCATGTGCATGCATGTGGGTGGCGTGCACCTGTGTGTACTTCCAGGAACCAGAAGGGGATGCTGACATTTTCCTCTGTCACTTCTCACCTTAGTTTTTGAGTCAAGGTTCCTCAATGAAACCCAAAGCTCACCATTCAGCTGGGCTGGCTCACCGTCCAGTTTCTGTGATCCGTCCATCTCTGCCCCTCAGAGCTGGCATTGCAGGCACATGTAGCCATCTGTGCCAGCTTTTCCATGGGTGCTGGGGATTTGAACTCTGGTCCTCTTGCTTTTACAGTCATTACTCTTATCCAGCCCCATTTTTGTTGTTCTGTTTTGTTTTAAGACAGGGTCTCCCTGTAGCTCTGGCTGTCCTGGAACTTGCTCTGTAGACCATGATAACCTCAAACTTGTAGCGATCCACCTGCCTCTGCCTCTCCAGTGCCAGGATTAAAGGTGTGCATCGCTATGCCTGGCTCCCGTTTTGTTTTGTTTGTTGTGGTTTTTTTTTTTCTTGAGGTGGGCTCTCTCACCGAACCTAGGGGTCATCAGTCATCTAGGCTATACCTCCAGCAAGTCCCAGAGATCCTCCTGCCTCTGCCTCCCACCACGGGGGTTACAGAGGTGTGCACTGCTCCTGGCTTTTACATCATGCTATAAATCAGACTCAGCCCATGTGACAAGCCCTTTGTAGACAAAGCTGTCACTCCAACCATCAGCAGAACTTTCTATGGCCTTGTTCTGTCAGGCTCTGCTCCATCACGTCAGGGCACACTCAGTGCAGGACTCTGAGACAGAAATGAAAGGGGAAAAAGGGTGTGGTGGCCAAGACAACCTGGAGCCTCATTGTTGGGAGGGTCTTCTCCGAGCACAGAAATCAAAGGTGAAACCCGGGAGGCTGTGTGTGCTCTTAAGGATGGAGCTATCCTGGCCCCTGTTCAGGGCAACTCTTTATGAAAATGGCTGGGTCAGGGGACATGTTCACACTAGAGAGACTCCAGTCCCCCTTGGCAGTTGGTGCTGCCTGCGAGACAGGAGTCTGAGCTTCCCTTGGGGTGAGCGGAGGAATGGCAGTGTTCCCGTTCCCCAGCAAATGGCAGCGCAGGGTGACAGACGCAGCTCCTAATCTGTGCCGTCACCGGTCACCCCTACAGTGCTGCCAATGTGAAGAAGTGGGAGATTGAGCTGCAGACCCTGCGGGAGAGCAACGCCCGGCTGACCACAGCCCTGCAGGAGTCGGCGGCCAGCGTGGAGCAGTGGAAGAGGCAGTTCTCCATCTGTCGTGATGAGAACGACCGACTCCGCAGCAAGGTGGGCTTCAGCAGGGAGCAGGACCGGGGGCCTGGCCAGCTGCAGTGGGCAGCCGGAGATGGGACACTGAAGGCCCTTGGCCTCCCTCCTCTTTCGCCTCCCTCTCTCTCTGCCCTCACCCCATGGGCAGGAGAAGACATTTTTATCTCCTCCCTGAACATCTTCCTTTCTTAGTAGGACGTCAGTGATGTCAATTATCGACTTTGAATTTTCGTTGCTAAGGAAGAGATAAGTGAACCAGACCCCCTCTCAAGGGTTCCCCCATATTCCTTCCAGGCTGGCCTTTGCTGTAGGTGAGCTTCCCTTAGTGACTCTGTGGCTTGGGCTCTCCAGTGGAGGAAAGGGAACCGAAGGATAAATGAGAAAATTGATCCAGAATGCTGAGGAGTACAGAAACTCTGCTCCCTCCAAACCATTATCTCCACAAATATAAATTTGAAAGCAAAAAGAGGAATCTGTGTTGAAAGAGGAGAAAGATGGGTGTCAACTGTGCAATGCTTTATGTTGTCCCGCTTTGATGACTGAGGGTTTAAAGTGGCTCGAAGTTTCCCTGTAACCAGCCCTGTAGTCAGTCTCTGTTCTTCTGCGGCATTGATGCAGAAGTTTGGGGCACTCAGAGATGCCCTGTAGAGGCTCTCAGGTTTCTGTTTAGACTGTGCTAGGTATGAGCCCAGAGGGCTTCAGACAATGCTCCGTAATTGCAGGGTTTGGGGGGACCTGTCCCTTGACCCTGATTGGCCGATGCAGAGCCACTGAGGTGGAGCCCCACATTGCCACCTTTGTTGAGTGCTAATTTCCCACAGAGCTGCCTCGTGTCCATGTTCCATCCCTGGGACGAGCATGCTGACAGTCAGGGCGCTGGGCCGGTCGCTGAGTTTGTGTGTTCCTGTCTGAGCCTGAACTGATCTGCCTGCTGAAGGGATCGATTGCTTCTGTTGAAGCAGAGATGATTTTCTCACTCTGGTCATGACAGTCAGATGCAGTGCTGAGGTGTGGGGCAACGTCACCAGAGCCCAGAGGTGTGGGGTAACGTCACCAGAGCCCACAGGGGTGGAGTAACGTCACCAGAGCCCACAGGGGTAGGGTAACGTCACCAGAGCCCACAGGGGTGGGGTAACGTCACCAGAGC